TGGTCGACAACCAGGTAGATAGGCCGGTTGAAGGAATATCATGGTCCAATGTGTTGAGGCAAATTCGGGCACGTAGTGATGGGGATGGTGTATTCGAAAAATGGCTTGCCGATGCTCGCACGGAGAGGAGATACCTTGAGGAATGTAGTGAACGATACGAGTATGGCATGGCTTCGCAAATTCATGACATGGAGCAACGACTGCTTCAGCGTGAGTCTAAAGTGCCTTATGGTATTGCAGGTAAGGTTACGAACGATTCCGCATTGAAAGGAGAATGTGGCCGCTATATGACTGACAATGATAGTCTTCGGTGGACTTAGGACGAGTTGCTTCGCATGTTGAAGAAGAAGGAGGCGGAAGAGACTGCCATGAGGAGTGCATTCGCAAAGCATTGAGGTGAATGCACGATCAGTGCTTGAAAGTTTCCTGAAAAGGAAACGAAGTGAAAAAGTGAGAGATTGGTCTTTGTCCGATAGTGTGGATGCGAAGAAGGAGGAGAATGTTGGCGAGGACATTGCCAGCCAACTTACGTCTTTAATCCAATCCTCCATTAGAAATGCTTTGCTTGACCAAGTTGCTGAGCTTAGTACTAAAGTGATCCGCATGTGTCCCAAGAGTGTGAGTGTTTACGTCTACGCTGTGAAACAGCCGAGAGTGTATTGAGAAAATTGTTGTCGGCAGGTGCCTTGTCATCGATTGATCCTTCTTTTGCATCAGAGGTGTTTGAGCTTCCAGCACGTCGAAGTTTAGAAGAGCTTCCGAAAAGTTGTTTGATTGGTATGTTGCAAGCATTGCGAAAAGTTGGTGTGAAACTTGCACATAGAAATGCACTTTTGGAGGTGCAAAATACAATCAGCTTTCCGGTAAGCGATAGCCAGTTGAGAGCGACAGTTGTTACTCTCGGACAATTGTACGACGACGCACCACAAGAGTTAATGGACGCTGTGTTTGACATAGTTTCTCGGATCAATGTGGTGAGGGACTGAAGGAGGACATTATGGCGAGTTACAAGGAACAGTTGTATAGCCTCAGAATTTTGTTAACAAATATCATTGCTGCTCATTCGCCGGTGCGGGTTATGAAGGAGATGGGCTATGTAAAAAACGAGTTGAATGCTCTCGCGAGAATAAATAAAAAGCATGAGACCGGATTGCATGAGGTGGTGCTTCCATTGGTTGAAGCTCTGAGGCGTCGATGTCCAAAGTGTGGTCGCCTAAGCCATTTAACAAAGATGGAGTATAGAAAGATAAATGATTTGACGGTTGTTACTGCTATATGTGACAACACGACAAACCTTTATCCCCATGGAGATGTTGTTGTTGATGATGACGAGAAGTTCGCAATGGAAGAAAGGAGAAGGCAGCTTCGTGGGTAGGACGATGTAGATGAATAGTGTGGTTTTTCTTTGTGGTCACATATGCATTAACTGGTGTTCGAGTGAGAATAGTAAGAGAGGGAGGAGCTAAAGTGGGAGGGAGAATGGGGACGTGGGGTGGGATGACGAGCAGGAATGCGTGCTTTCACATTTGTTCATTTCATTACTGCTGATGACACTTGAATGAGTTTATGATAAAATGCTTAAATTTTATATCTTTGGACACTTTTATTTGAGTTTTCTCGCGCTCTCTCTGTTTCTCTTTCTCTGTCTCTCTCTCTTTCTCGCTCTCTCTCTCTCTCTATATATATATATATGTCTCTCTCTTTCTCTCTCTCTCTCTTGGTCCTTTTTTTTTTTTTTTTTTTTTT